GGAAAGACTGATGTAGAGTTTAGGTCTAAAAATGTGAAAGAGTTTCATTTCCAAGTCCAAGCTCAAGGTCTAGATCCAGATATTCTCTCCCTAATACCTGCTTATTTCAAAATGCCTGGATCTGTGATTTTGCTTTGTTGCCATTTCTACCTTTCCTCACTACTGTATGCAAGCGGATGCACAAAGGTTCTTGGCTGTGCAGTGTCTGATTTTTTTCATTTCTTTTTTTTTTTCTTCTCAGAGATGGTGAAATGTCTCCCAAATGCCAAACCAGCTCCCAAGGCTCAGCTAGTGTGTAGTAAGACAGGAGGTATAGAGAGCTGCTTCCTGTCATGCCCATCCAATACTCTTTTTGTTCCAGGTTTGTACAAAATATTTTTACTCCTAAGTCTAGGATGTGGCTTGATAATCTTCTCTGCTAATGTATTCATGGTTCTTGCATTCAGTTTTTGTTAAGAACAACTGTAAATGAGCAAAAACATCATTATAAATTAAATTGGGCCAGATGTGCACATCACTAAATACAAGGGCTGACTGTCAGTTACATTAGAGGTTTGTCTCTTTGTTGTTCAATTTGAGGTGTCATTTGCAGGGGTGGGGAAGTTCTAAAAAAAACTGGAGAGACACATAGACCTTAACAAAGATGATACAAAATTGAATTGCTATGTCAATAAGGGGAAAAATGAACAGTTGATTTCAATGAATTCCTGATAATTTATAGTACCATGTTTTTCAACTTGAGTCAAGTCCCCTGTGCCTATCCAGGCATCTGCTTAAAATTATGGACTCTGCATCATGGCCTGAAATACCCTGTAACTGTGTGATTGAGCAGGAACAGAAACGAATCCCAAAGTGGAGGGTTCCCTGAGAGGAACTCAGCTTGGTGAGCACAGTCTGAGACAGGGACGGGAGAGGACAGGTGGGACCCAGTGGGAAATTTAATGCTGGGGCTGCCACAGCACATGATCACACTCCCACACCAGCCAAGGTAGCATAAAGCTTCCATCAGCTCAGTCGGGGCGATGTGAAGCAAAGGATGACCTAGCAACAGCTTTAAACCTGTCTTACTGCCTCATACAAAATGGATGCATCTAAAAGTGTCTCAGGAGGCGGTATGGCAAAAAGTATCTCTTGGTGTTAGCTGCTGCAGTTGCTGGGTTTTAATAAATTTTGCTGATAATCAGCTGAGTGTTATTGATAGAAACTCAGGGATTTCATCTCCTTCGCCCCTCTACCTCCTTTATTTTTTTATTGTTTGCTACAGGTAATTTTCTTCTACACAGTTCTGGAGGGCAGGTAGGGCAGGGGGGTTTTCATATACATTCTGGTTCTGACACAGGATTATTTTACACAAGGGTGTCTCTACTTTTCAGGTTAGTCTTGGCGTTGTATGTGGTAGACCTGTTCACACTTTATTTTCAGTTTAGCAGAGATTGCTGGAACCATGCATTTATCTCATTTATATGCACCAATACACAGTTTCATCAGTGCAGTATGTAAACCCTATTATGGTTCTAAGTATGTTATTTTTTGTTTCTGCCAATAAAATTCTGCCAGAGTCGGAAGCTAAAATTATTCCTAAAGTACGTGGTTTATTTTTTTAAATTATAGAGATGATCAAAGCACAAGGACTCTGCCATGGACAAACACAAAATATTTTCTACTTGTGCACCATGGAATTATTTACATCTAACCTCACGCCAAATTGTTTATAGAACATAACATTTTTGTGCTGGAAGAAACAAAATCTGTAGTCACCACTGTGAAGCAGTAGACTTTGGCAAACTATTTCAGCCATTTAAAATCCACATTCAGCACCTAAAATGTCTCTTTATTTAGAAGTATTAATTAGTTTGTTCAAGCACTGAACATTAATGCTGAGGGTGGCAAGGGGAGCAGATGCCTTGTGAGGCTGTTGCCACATGTGCTGACTCTAAGTTCTGCTCTGCAGATTCGGAGAACAGCTACACGCTGAGCTGTGGTGTTCCTGTCCAGCAAGGCAAGGCTCAGCAGAAACGCAACGTGACCCTGCCCAGCTGTGCAGGTAGGTTCTCTCCTTCTCTCCTGGGCCTCGGCATCTAGGGAGGTAGGTGATGGAAGTCCCACCGACCATTTGGAGTTGCAAGACGTACAGCTCTCAAGTTACACAAGGCCAGAATTAAGGTAGCCTGTGGTTTATCACACACGTATTTGCTTTTCTGCAGCCTCTTCTCAAGGGCTGGAGTGTGCTTAGTTGCCCTCCAGTGTGTGTTGGTAGGTCAGTATAGGAGCAGTGAAGGTTTGAGATGTATTCAGTAGGGACAATTATTTAAAATAATTAATTTCCGTAGTCCAGCAAGGCAATAGTGAGCATATCAAAATGACATTTCTTCCCAGACTTGGAATTGAGCCAGAGGGGCTTATCAGTAGCGCAAGAGCAGAAAGCTGCAGTGAGTGCAGCCCTCACCTGCAAAGTCTTTGCTCAGGAGCACAGATCCTCCTACTGGGGCTTCCCAATGAAAAGCTTATGAGACTTTTATAAGCCCATACTGTGTTTTGTTCATCTTGTTCACAGAAATGTCTGGATTATTTTTGCAGAGACATTTAAAAATGTGTCTTAAAGCTGATACTCAGCATAAAAAAAAGTTCAGCTCAAAATGGTTGAAGTCTGGCAAAATTAGAAGCAGCTGAAACAGCATCCAGCAGTGGCGAGTGTCAGCCCACTTTACATATCATTACCTGCTGTGTACCTCTCTCCAATTTGCCAGCTCTCTGACCATGTATTTCTCATATATTTGGAATGCCTTAGGGGGTACAATGCTGTGGAGTGAGGTAACACAGCAGGAGATGTGGCTGCCTGTGGCACAGGGGCAAGCTA